CGATAATTCTTTTAGATATCTACTATTACGATAATTCTATTAGATATCTACTATTACGATAATTCTATTAAATATCTACTATTACGATAATTCTATTAGATATCTACTATTACGATAATTCTATTAAATATCTACTATTATGTTAATTCTACTAGATATCTATCATTACGATAATCCTATTAAATATCTACTGTTATGATATTTCTATTAGATATCTACTTTTAAGATAATTCTATCAAAAATCTACTATAACGATAATCCCATTTAATATATGTGGTATATCTAATTGTATTTCAGGATATTATCATTTCTTTTAAAATTAATTAATTGATATTTTAAGAAATCAGTTAACTATTTCTATATTTATTTGAATCCCTCTATGGTCTTAAAATAATGTGTGAATAATATGGTTAATTACTTGTAATTAACTTTTAAAAACTTACTTCCGAATAATAAGCAGTCATTGGGTCGTATTTTGGCTGAGGTATTTCATACTAATTGTTAGGTCATTGTTTTTATATTAAATCTGACTAAGCAATATTCATGTGAACTTTAATGTAATTTCAACTCAAAGCGATCTGGATAATTGTATTGCAAAAATTACTGATATGTTGAATGTCGATGTTGGTAAATTTTTTCGTTTAAATATAATTGATCATCACCCTAGAGCTTCTAGCAGTAGGTCAAAGCATCCCACTTGCTTATCTTCAAACGATAAGCCCTGGTTTGATAAAAACTTAAAATCCCTTTATAGAGATTATATTATAGCTTTACGTACATTTAATAGTTGTAAAAATAAAGAAAATCACTTAGAATTGGTTAACAAAAAGCACATTTACAAGAAAGCAGAAGCAAAGCTAAAAAGACTGTACAAGCAAGCTGAAGGTAACAGGTTAAACATTTTGAAGAAAAATAACCCCAGACAATTCTTTGCCAAATTTATTAAAAGATCAAAAGCAACTCCAAAAGTATCATTTAAAGATTTTTATGAGCACTTCAAAGGTATCACTAAAGTAGATGAAATTGGTGACTCAAATGTTGTACATGTAAGTGGTGAATGTGTTTTTGATGAACTGGATAAAGAAATTTGTGTAGATGAAATTAAAACCGAAATTAGCAATTTAAAGCAGGGGAAATCGCATGGTGAAGATGGTATTTTGAATGAATATTTTATTGGATTCCAGGAATATCTGCTTCCTTTGTTATATAAACTTTTCAACTGTATATTAGATACAGGGTTTTTTCCCAAAAAGTTGGTCGTCATCTTTGTGCCTATTTTCAAAAAAGGTGACAATAAGAACCCAGACAATTACAGAGGTATAAGCCTTGTCAGTAATATGGCTAAATTATTTACTTTAATATTAAACAATAGATTATTAGAATGGTCAAAAAGTAATGATATTATCACAGATGCACAGTTTGGATTTAAACCTAATTGTGGTACACGTGAAGCAATATTTGTTCTTCATTCTTTGATTACAAATACCTTATCTAAAAGTAAAAGACTATATTGTGCATTTATTGATTTCAAAAAGGCGTTTGACTCTATTGACAAATCTAAACTGTAGATCGAGTTATCAAAAGTGGGTATCCAAGGTAAATTGTTAAATGTCATAAAAGCTCTCTTTTATAATGTGAAATCTTGCATTGTGGTAAATGGTCAATTGAGTGATTTTTTCTGTAACAATACTGGCTTGATGCAAGGAGAAGTATTATCTCCAATTTTATTCAATCTCTATGTGAATGATTTTGAAATGAGTTTCTTAAAATCTGGCTGTATGTCATATGATCTAATGTCACTGAATTTGTTTTTGTTAATGTATGCAGATGATATGGTCCTTTTTTCTGAAACCATTGAAGGTCTGCAATCACTTTTGAATGAATTGTCTCAATATTGCAAAACCGGGAATTTATACATTAATGTAGATAAATCTAAAGTTTTAATCTTTAGAAATAAGGGCAAAATCAAATCTAATGAAAAATGGTTTATTGGTAATCATGTTTTGGAAATTGTTAAACAATTTACATACTTGGGAATTATTTTCCATTATGATAATAAATTTAGAATGGCGGAAAAACAGCTTTCTGACCAGGGTAGAAAAGCATTGTTTGCATTGAAAAAAAAACATTAGAGGTTTGTCTCTTAATCATGAAACTTTATTATCACTTTTTGATTGCTATATTGGAGGCATTGTTAATTATGCATCAGAAATCTGGGGAATTCATAAAGGAGACAACGTTGAAAAACTTCATCTCGACTTTTGTAAGCAAATACTAGGAGTTAAAAAATCTACATGTAATGCAGCTGTTTATGCTGAGTTAGGTAGACTTCCTCTGTTGTACAAAAGGATGTTTTTAATGATAAAATTTTGGAGTAATATATTAGCCAGTGATAACTGTATCATTAGAAATTGTTATGAAAAAATGTATATTAATTGTGAGTCTCATGCACAAAAAAACTGGGCCTTTCAGGTTAAGAAATGCTTAAATGATCTTGGTTTAAGTGAAGTTTGGGGTAAACAAATTAATACTGCTACATTAAAATTTATTAAACAAAGGATCTTGGATCAGGCTAAACAAGGAATATTTGCTAAAATTGAAAGTTCGCAGAAATGTTCTTTCTATAAATATCTACTTGATGGGTTTTACCTACAATATTATTTTAAAAAATCTATTCCGGTTAAGTTTCAAAAATGTATATCAAAGTTAAGATTATCCTCACACATTTTAGCTATTGAAACTGGGAGATATAATAAAACTAACAAAGCCCAGAGGAAATGTTTTTCGTGTCATACTTGTGTTGAGGATGAATATCATTTTATACTTGTATGTCCTGTTTATGCAGATTATCGAAACAAATTTATTAAAAAAAAATTTCTTTAAAAAACCATCCATGTTTAAATTATTGCAATTGTTCAATACAGAGAACTATAAGGATATGTGTAACCTTGGTAAATATATTTATTATAGCATGAGGCGAAGAGATCTTGTAATCCAATAATTGTAATATTTTACTTCTTTTTATTTCATTATTATTTATGTACGTACACATTGTTCTCCTGTAAATCATCCACTTCTGTACTGTATTCGATTGTATATTGTATTATATTGTATATACTGATAAGCTGTAAAGCTTAAAGTCATAATAAAGAAGAATCTAATCCTCTATTTCGACGGTTCCAACAAACATGTACAGAAATGAAAATAAAACGAATAATTTGTAGCGTTTAACAGATTATATATATATATATCAAAGGGGTTATCAAAAAGTTCGTGGACTAGCGCCATAAAATTAAAACCGCTTTAGGTACATCAATGAATTTTAACACATTTAGTTAGCATCATCTTTTCTATCGATAGAATAAACAATAAATCATAAGTTTTATTTTTTAATAAATTGTTATTGTTTTTGTAAGCAATGGTATGTCCAAGCGGCGCAACCTCAAATATGACGTTTCTTCTACCTGAGTGTAACTGAGAAAAACTCTTTTGATATGAGCATTTGTCGTCAAAAAATCCGGTTAATCCAGGCATGTGGTACAACACAGTTGTTCCGTAAAATTTGCAATTTTTACCCCATTCTGTATATTCTATGAAATTTTATCGTAAATTTATATGGAGTGTACAAACAATTAAGGGTTCAAAAATGACGTCAAAAAGGGGGAGGGGTTTCTGTTTCCAACATTCTTTAAAGATTCGCACCTGGAAAAACTGGTATCAGACCTGGGGAATGTTTAAACGGGCTACAGAAAAATAAAACACACACAGAGTACTCGTTTTAAATAGCCGAAAAGATTCAGAGAGATGAAAGATGCACAGTTAAAGTCAATTTGTAGTGAGGGTGTCAAAAATCAGTCACGTCGAAAAGTGACGTTGATCATGTGTGGTAGAAATTGAACTCCATCAAGCTAAGTATTCTGGTATAATCAAGTGAGGATCTTTCCTTATGTATAGATACATTTATAATATTATATGCATTGAAAGCAGCTGTTCATGACATTATAAAGTCACATAAACAAGACGGACTTACGTCCTTACTAAATTCCATGCAGGTAATCACATCAAGATAAGTGTATACGGAGTGGATATTGAGAAACAATGACATTGTCGGACGTCATGAAACTAAACGGCGACAGCGCCGGGTGATCATATAATGTCTTTTTTATTTTAGAATAATTTGGCAAATTATCAACGTATCAAGTTAAAATTTTCAACATTTCTTAAACATTTGTTGATTTATGTTTTTCATAAATTTTGTAAGCACAGACTACATAGTATTAATTCTATCGCATCAGTCCACGAACTTTTTGATAACCCCTCGTATATATATATATATATATATATATATATATATATATATATATATATATATATATATATATATATATATATATATATATATATATATATATATATATACTTTTTTATCTAATAACCCTGGTTTTAATTGGTGCCTTGATTTGGTGCCTTACCAAGGCGGAGTTTGGCACATTATGAAAAATCAAAATATAAGATACATGTTCAATCAGCCAGACTTGAGCTGTAGTAACGTCTTTAGTTTCTGAGCCTTTTCTTTGAAAAGAAATTAACGTAAGTCCACCGTTTTTGTTTATGTTTGCGCCAGGTTTTCAAAGTTCACCTGTAATATAGGTCTCTCATTAGCATCGATGTTTCCACAATACATTCAGGCACTTCAAATGTAAATATCATCAATTAAGAGTAAGATTCTGCCTTTAATGACAGAGTAGAATTGGCTCTGTAAATTGACAGTTTTATAAAAAAAGATATCTGTTGAGAATAGTGCATGATGATTGCTCAGCAGTTAAAGGTAAATATTAAAAGTATCTTCTAGGGACATTCTATGGAAATTATTCCTATGGGAAATTTTGACAGAACATGATTATATAACTTGTATAAATACGGTGTTTATTCAACATCATTGAACATTGAACCCATCTTTTTTTTGAAAAGTCACATTATCTTTTCAAATTGAATTGAAAATGGCCATTTTATTTCTACTGCTTTCCACTATCATTTGGAGGGTAAGATCTGCACATCAATCTTACACGATAGAAGAATACCAAGCCCTGACCAATAGATTACTGGCTAACTACTCTAGTAAAATCCGCCCGATTCGGAACCAGGGACAGACTCTGCCCATGAAAGTCAGTTTGTGGATATCCAGTATCAATGACGTCAACGACGTAGCTCAGAAGATGGTCACTTCCGCATACTTGGCCGTCAGGTGGACAGACGCCATGTTAATCTGGAATTCAACGGAAACGAGAATTGATTGGATGCAGTTTAACCAGGTAAATCTCTCTCTCTCTCTCCTAACAAAAAGTTAACTTTAGTTAGCTACAGTAAGTTTTCACTAAAGTAAATCAAAGTTTTACGATAGTTAATCATAGTATTTTTTACTATAACTCAGTCGGTAGAGCGCTCGCTCTAGATCGGAAGGCCGTGAGTTCAAATCTGACCTAAGTCGATAAAAAATAGGTAGCAACTGTTTCTTCGCCAGGCGCTCGGCACTTTGAAGTTAAAGTTGGGTGTCCTTTGGATGAGACCTTAAAAACCGAGCCCCCCCCCCCCATGTCACGGTAGGCGTTGCACGATAAAGATCGCTCACTGCTCAATGGCCCTGAGTGCCGATTAAAGGTCTAAATTTGAATTTGAACCCAATCCCCGGTATATGGTGACGTCTCTATATGAGTGAAAAATTCTCGAATGGGACGTATAACAATCAATCAATCAAATCGTTATATTTTATTTTGTTAAATACCTACAAGCAATTTTCTTACATTAAAAGGAAGTATTGTCTGCATATTTATATATTATTTCAAACATTTACATAATTGATATGTTTCCGGAGAAAGATCAAAGCTCTAATCTAAAAAAATTCTAGTGTAAAGTTTTAAAGTAAATCAAACTATCAAAGTATTACTCTAGTTAACTATAGTAAACTATAGTGAACAATAGTAATTTTTTGTTACTCTCTCTCTCTTTCTCCCCCTCTCTCTCTGGATGTACAATGTATGTATGTGCATGCGCGCGCGCGTCTCTCTTTCTCTCTCTCTGTTATTAGAATTTATCACTTAGACTTTCATTAAGAAATTCACACAAAGTGATTTGTTTCATTAGTGTTCTCTTGTATATTTGTCTAATTTAGATTATTAAATTTATAATTTTAGAAATTTCGTTCCTAACAAAGAATAAACCTCTACTAATAGCTCTTACTTAGAAAATATCTGATTAGTTATATCCAAGCGGTTTGTTTCGGAATACTGTGGAATCATAATAATTCATAGGGGTCAATGTTCGTGGGCAAGCAAAATTTTATTTGTTTGTGGGGACGATATTTCGTGGGTAACTCGTTTATACGGTAGATTCAATGAATCAAAATAAGCGTTCGAAGGTTTGTAAATTCGTGGCCTGGGTAAGGGTGACCCACGAAATCCACGAACATTGGTCCCCCACGAACAATGATTCCACAGTATACTTTGTCAGTCTAGCGTTCATCACTCTCCTTGTCTGTTGAATAAAGGTTGAGCATGGAGCCAAGATCTATTTCTAGCTTATTTCAAGGATGATTCAAACCAAATTGTATTGGTTTCTTTGAAGCATTCTTAGAGATCCTCGTCTTATCTACTTTTTATGCTTCAGCGATCTGATCTTGTTAAAGGTTAAGTTAAACCCAGTGTTTTAAACCACTTACTGGCTTACCTGGCATATTTCACACCAATTGCAATCAGGGATACTGAATTAGATGCATGCATCTGATGCTGATAGTGACCTACATTTTAAGTTCGGGGACAGTTGATGAATGTAAGGCGAAGCTCAGCATTTACGCCACTTGCTTGTATATCTCAAGGGATTTATAACCCTGAATTCAAAATAAAGCAGTATTGTGTATTTATTGACCTCAAATGCTAAAATTTATGTATCTAAGTGCTACTGTAGGCCTTTTGTTGTATCACAAGAAACTATATACATATTGTACACTTGTCGATTCTTATTTTGTCTCTGTAGTGTTTCATGTGATGTTGTTTCTACGAAAGTTCCGTTAAAACAGCTCTTAATTCGTTATAATAGACCAAATACTCAGATCTTACCCTGTCGTAGATGAATAAATGTTTATTTTTGGAATTTCCTACTTTACATGGAAAATCAGTTCACTCTATCTTAAATTGGTCTCTCGTTGTCAATACTTATTTAATGCGCACAGTTTTCTTCTCCGGTGACACAGAATTTGTGTAGTTAACGTTTATTATACAGAGTGATTAGAAATACATTGAGTAAATGAAGTTCGAAACTACGTTGACTGTGTCTTTAATTTAAATGTAACTTACTGTTTCAGAAAGACTTATGGATACCGGATCTCGTCCTGAGTAATGGATTCACGGCCTTCAAACCTCTTGGTGGAGATTTCTATTTCCTTAATGTAAACAGCAACGGGAAGGTTTCTTGGTACCCATTCATGGTTTTTGAAACGAAGTGTAAAATCAATGTTTCATTTTATCCCTTCGACTCGCAAACATGTAAAATAGAGTTCAAGACATGGAGTTACAACCGATATGAAGTAAATCTAACAGTTTCTAAAGATAAGATAGGATTTTATGACTTTGTGGAAAATAGTGTATGGGAAGTGACGTCAACAGATGCAGTAAATGACTTTACAAGCTCTGAACCGACAGTGTCATTCATAATTCATCTTCAGCGAAAATCGTTGTACTATATCATGAACGTGTTTCTTCCTATAATTTTTCTGGGTATCCTCAGCCCTGTAGTGTTCATAATCCCAGCTGATGCTGGGGAGAAAATGGGTTACGCCGTGACGATATTCCTGACCTTCGTCGTGTTTCTAACTATCGTAAGTTCGAACCTTCCAGTTAATTCTGACAGTGTCTCCTACATGGAAGTTTACCTCGTCATCAAGCTTCTCTTTGGTGCTATGATTATCGTCATTACGTCAATACAACTACGCATTAATCACAGGAAGCCAGAAAGAGAAATTGGGAAGGAGCTCCGTGCTATTGTAAGGCTCAAGGATCGTCTGAGGTGTATACATAAGAGATCTGACTCGGGCTGCACATGCTCTAGACGTGTGCATGGAATAGACCTTCCGGTAATGGTTGACAAAGGAAAGGCGAAGGAGGCAAATGAGGAGGACATTAGCTGGAATGACGTGTCCTCTGCCATTGACTTTTATTCATTTTGGTTCCTGGTTCTTGCAGATATAGCAGTAACTTCCTCCATATTTGCATATACTTCTCTGAATTAGCTGTCTATTTCTCTCTCTAATACAAACACAGTGCGCGCTCATAGTTTATTTATTATTAAAAGTAATTGAAGATACATAAAGAAACATAAGATAAATAGATACCACATATTCTAACACATTTGTTTCATATCTGGATATTTTACTAGAAAAAGACGTTAATGGAAACCTAACAACCAAGCTTTATGATACACATGATGACTTTAACAATTCAATCGTCAACGACTAATAGTCATGCCATAATTTACACATTGAATTGTCTACGGATTTTTCCGTTTTTTTCCCGATCATGACAAGGGCACACTGCGGGTGTGACCGGTCAGCAGGGGAAGCTCATTCCTCCATGGGACCTGATCCCACCTCTGATGTTTTGGAGGTCCGTGTTTGTTCTGCTCCCGATTTGTATTGTTTGAATGGACTCTGTACGTTATCTCCAAATTTCATATACTTATGACCTTATTAATTTCTACAGTTTGATCATTGTAATTACTCGATATATATATTTCAAAATAGTGTCTGTGTTTTTATCATTAAAGTAATTGTCGTATTTGCATTTTTATTATTATGTTGTACAGATTAAATTATAGTTTAAATGGCATATGCTGTCTACGATAAAATGTTTCTATATAGGAATTTTCATAGTTTGGATTGGATATGATTTTTATCCAACACACTTTAGGTTTTTTATCCCCTTGCCCTTCTGTATAAATAACTTATAGGATCATTCCGAAATCATTATGTTTGTAGGATGTGTGGTTACACTGATACTGCTTTACATGTCAAACCCGCAGAGCAAATAACTTGAGCTCGGAAGTTTCCTCTTTGTGATATTAAAAATGTGAGCAGCTCCTTAAGCTCTAATTTTGGCTATACAGCATAGCATGTAAATAAATTCGTTCTCTGATGCTCACAGTAAAACAAGGAGGGGAAAAGATATGTAGAGGGCGCATGGTTACAACACAGATGGCGTGTCCATACACTATTTTTCATTTAAGAAAGAATCACATCTTGTGCCCAAACGGACATCATTTGTTAGCTTAGGAGATAATGGCCTGAGGTGTCCACCAGACATTCCGGCCAGTGTGGTTACATTAGGTTAATTACTGTTTTGGTCCAGCAGGGTCAAAACGTGATTGTAGCTTTGACAAAGAGGAACCGAATCCAAGGAGGAACAGATAAAAGGCAGAAAGTGGTGAAAGGGGTATTAAAGTTTGTAAAAGGGAACATCTTGATTGATTGATTGATTTATGTTGCTTTACGTCCCATTTGAGAATTTTTATCTCTTATAGAGAATTCATCATATTCTGGTGAAGGGCTTTAAATTTAGACCTATAATCGGCACTCAGGGCCATTGAGCATTGAGGGTTCTTTATCGTGCCAACGCCTACCGTGACACGAAACCTCGATTTTAAAACGTTCATCCAAAAGTCCCGTGAGTTTCACTTCTAGTGCCCTGCGCTTGGCGAAAGAACAGTCACTACCTATGTTTACGTCTTAGGTTTGTCGCGGCGCAGCGAACGAGAATCAACTCGGGCCTTCCAATCACAAAGCGAACGCCCTACCAATAGGCTACCGTGACCGGTTAGGGGACATCTTGAAGTAAGTTGTTTGACATTTACCATGAATAAACGTGTCGAATTTTATGAGGTTTTATAGCTATTTCTTAGCGAAAAAAAAATAATCGAAGATAATGACTTATTGTAGATCGCAGCAGATCAAACAGAGGCTTTGAATGACTCAATACAATTTCCTCTACCTAATACATCAGATATGACGTATCATGCAGAATGCAAAGTACTGAAAACACGGTAAGCTTGAAAATGAATATGAATATATCATACCTTTCAAAAAGTTTGAAATTCATGTCTGAATTAAGAATGCATTTCAAATTTTTCAGTCTTGTTTATGGGCTTTTGCTTCCTGATCGGGTGGCCCAGATTCGATTCTAGTTTGCCGCGCCGCGTCAAACCTAACACGTAAACAAAGGTAGTGATTGTTCCTTCGCCAAGTGCCCGGCATTAGAAGTGAAAATCATCGGTTTTTCGGATGAGATCTTAAAAATCGAGGTCCCGTGTCACGGTAGGCGTTGGCACGATAAAGATCACCCAGTGCTAAATGACCCTGAGTGCCGAGTATAAGTCTAAATTTGTAGTCTTTCTTCGACATACGGTGACGTCTCTTAATGAGTGAACATTCTCCAATGGGACTTTAAACTATACACAATCAATCAATCAATCTTGTCTGCTGATAACACTTGAATTTCTTGAGAAATGTCTGTCTGAATCCCCAATTGTGCTAATTGCGCCCCGTTATTAGCAGACCTAGTTTTGTATTCATATAAAGAACAATTAATTACAAAACTTCGACATGGAAAGAAGTCTCTTGCTGTGGCCTTCAATTCAATATATACATACATCGACGACGTTTTTTCTATTAACAATATTTATTTTCGTTCATAGGTTGATTCGATATATCCCTTCGAAATAAAAGTACCACAGAGTCTGACACATCTGTTTCATAATTGGATATTTTACTAGAATAATACGTTAATGGTTACCTAACAACAAAACTATATGATAAACGTGATAACTTCAACTTTTCTATCATCAATTTCCCTTACTTTTGTAGCAATAAACGCGTATCATCTGCATATGGGGTTTATGTCTCTCAGTTGATTCTACACGCAAGATTCTACGTAGATCAATTTTTAAAATGAGGCAAGCTATTAACCGACACATTAATGAAACAATGATATCAACAGTCTCGTTTAAAGTCATCTTTTTGAAAGTTCTGTGTTTGACACAATGACCTTATCAGCAAATATAATCTATCATTAGGTCAAATGCTGACTGACGTTTTCTCATACCAATTGTTAGGCCATTATTTACACACTGAAATTTCTACGGATTTTTCCGTTTACTCGACACACGACTGGTGTGACGAGGCACCTGACCACACCTCTGATGTTTTTATAGGTCCATGTTTGCTCTGCTTCAAATTTGTATTGTTTAAATGGGCTTTTGCGCTTGATTACTGCTAGTTATCTTCATATTTCATTAATGGCAATATAACAACCAAACCTTATGACGTGACGACTTTAGTCTTCCCTTATTTATGTAGCAATATACCATTATCACCAGCATATGGAGTTTCTCCCTCAGATTATTCGATGCACTAGAGCAATCTCTATATACGAACAATTTCTTAAACGAGGCAAGTTATTGACAAATAAGATTATGATACAAGGATATCAACAGTCTCGTTTAAAATCAAAATTTTGCAAATTCTAAGGTCTATATAATGACCTTGTCAGGAAATACAATCTATCGTCAAGTCGACTTACTTTTTGTCCCCCGCTTTCACTGAAAGTGGGGGATATAAATTTGTGTCTGTCTGTCCGTCCGTTCGTCTGTATTTCTCTCTGTCTGTAACACTTTCGTTTCCGCGCGATATCTCGAGAACCCTTTGAGCTTTCGCAACAAAATTTTGCATAGCAACTCCCAAGGGACTAAAAAGAATCCTATTAGTTTTGAGGTCAAAAGGTCAAAGGTCAAGATAATAAATTCATAAATTCTGTCTGTTTTAACGCTTTCGTTTCCGCGTGATATCTCGCGAATTCTTTAAGCTTTTGCAATGAAATTTTACATAACAACTCCCTGTGGCCTAAGGAAGACCTTTATTGATTTTGAGGTCAAAAGGTCAAAGTTCAAGGTCGTTAATTCACAAATTCCGTCTGTGTGTAACACTTTCGTTTCCGGGCGATATCTCAAAAAGCTTTTGAGCTTTTGCAAAGATATTTTATACCATAACTCCCTATAGCATCTCTCGCCCCTCTCAAAGTGTCCCGCCCCGTTTTTTTTTTTTTACTTTATTGTATATTTAAAAGTCGCTTGGGACTATTTTTAGCACAGAGGCATGTGGAGAGTTATAACGTATAATACAGGTTGCCGGTCCACTTAATATGCTAATTACATCTATTAGAACTGTTTAGTAAAGGCTAAATTAGACAATATGTAATGTGTAAAATTCTGACAATATCAAACGTGAATATAAACATTATATGTGACCTAATGTTTGCATTTAATCAGACTTAACTCAATATGAGTCATATTATTGAAATGAGTAGATCAACTTCTTGTTACATAGTCAAAGAAGCATAACTCTTACGACATGATCATTACTGACTTTTGTGTGTGACCTAGTGTTTGCCTTTAATTTGCTGTAATATCAAGTGCCTCCGTGGTCTAGGGGTATGTTGCTCGCTTAGCGATAAAAGATAAAAAAAAAAAAAAAAAAAAAAAAAATGTTGCTCGCTTAGCAAGCGAGAGGTCCGGGTTCAATCCCCGATCGATTCTATTTTTCTTTTTTTAATGTTTTTGTTTTTGTTTTGTTTTGTTTTTTTTGATTTACTAAATGATACTATTCAACATGTGAAATGAAAAAGTTATGATGTATGGCGTGTACAAACTCATAAAATCATTAGTACAGTGTGATAAATATTCTGTATATTAAAAAGAATCTTCTATACACATATTAAAGAATAAGCAATCAAATGTTTATATCCATATTGGCATTTAATTTGCTTCAATATACATGTACATGTATACATTTAATAATTCTACAAATACAGGGGGTCAGTGTGACCCCCCTCCCTGAACTGCGCATGCTCTTCTTTTTTCCCTAAGCGGGGGACACTGATTCTCTGAATTAGCTTGTTTCATACAGATTTTTAGACCATTATTTTCACGCAGAATTGTCTTAAGATTTTTTCGTTTGCCCGATCATAACAAGGAGCACACGACGGATTTGACCGGTCGACAGGGGATGCTTACTCCTCCGTGGCACCTGATTCCGGTGCCACGGAGGAGTAAGCATCCCCTGTCGACCGGTTTGAACCAGATTAGGTCGAAATTTGATTTTGGAGAAGACAAAGAGATTTGGAAAGCTTCCAGACGACAGACGGACAGATGGACATCGGACACTCTTTGATCAGAAAAGCTCACTTGAACCTTTACTGCATGCGATCAAAAAGAAAAAAGAAAAAGAAAGAAAAAAACACCCTGAAACATAATTGTTTGTTTAGAACGTTTCTGTAGGTTATAATACCCATGCAACACCATAAACATAAAGTCAAGTGATCAATTTTATTTAAATCGGTCTACGGGTAAAAATGGAATTTATTTAGGAAATAGATTTTAAGGCCTCTTTTTTATTCTTTTCCATTGCCCTTCAATTTAATGTAAAATATCTATGTGGTGAAGACAGGAAATGATTTTGTAAAACAACGAAGTAATTAACTTACAGCTGCGCGGCTTCTTCAACATATTTCTATTTATATTCTCCCCCACTACTTTCGTCCAAATATAAAACAATTATTTTCAAAGTATAATAAGAAAAAGCTCGTCTTTAAGGAATGATACTCGCTATAACCTTTTATTTTGCTAACGAATCGGATATATTCCATACATTCTGGCTTTTGGAAAATCTTAGATTAGAAATATAACCCTTTTTTTTTTGGCAAGTCCGTCCTTTTATTTTAAAAATACAAATATTATGACTAATAATGAGCGCACACAATATGGAAAATTACAGGTAGGCTATTGTATGCGTTTGGATTATTTTATAACGCAAAATGAACTTATTTTTGGAAGAATTTAATAAAAATATATATAGAACTTCACAAAATGAAAACACTTGTAATATTGTGTCACCTTTGAAGATGTTTGATGTTGAATTGATTTTATTTAGCAATATATCATTATTTGAATACGAAATTGTACCCCGAGACAGGTCATAGCTTGGTTTGAGAAGAGACATTTTAGGACCGGATTGTGACCATAGTTCATAAGCTTTAAAATGGATATATTTTGATTTATTTGTGTCAAATTTACGTTCCATTTCAAATCTCTATACTTAAACCGAGAGAATAGCAAGATAACCCGGAGAAGATACATTTTACTTCATTCTTTTGAGCATTTCATTGTTATTTATTTATTTTTTACAGATGTTTTGGATCATTGTATCAATTTTAAACTACTTATATTATTGTAAATCTAAATGTATCATTTTCAACGATTTATATTATTGAAAATCAATGTGTATCATTTCCACCTACATGTATTTATACTCATTTGTTAACATTAAACCAGTGTGTATCATTTTCAATTATTTATATTATTGTTAATCCATGTGTATTATTTACAAGTATTTATATTACTGTAGATCTAAATGTATCATTTTCAACGACTTATATTATTGAAAATTCATTTGTATCATTTTCAACTTTATATATTTATATTGTTGTAAATTCATGCGTATCATTTTCAATTATTGAAATTATTGTTAATAGAACAGTAATAACGAACAGTATACAATCTCGAAAGTCCAATGAAACGAGTAGAGCAAACACGGACCTCAAAATTTAGAGGTGGGATTAGGTGCCATGGAGGGGTGAGCATCCCGTGCCGACCGGTATTCAACTATTTATATTATTGTTATTCTATGTGTATCATTTTCAACTATTCATATCATTGTAAATCCATGTGTATCATTGAGTTGAATGTTTACTGACGTCTTTCATACGAATTGTTAGGCAATTAATATCACACTAAATTGTCTATCGTTTTCTTCTGTTTACCTAAACATGACAAAGAGCACATGGTAGTTGTGACCTGCCGATAAGGGGTGTTCACTACCCCATGGCACCTGGTCCTACCTCTGGTTTCAGAGGTTCGTGTTTGCGTTGCTCACAATTTTATTTAATTGAACTTTGAGTATAATAACTGTTTGTTTTCTCCCCATATGTATATCATAAATCGATGTATATCATAAATCCATCTATCAATTTATCAATTTCAGTTTATGTGTATCATAGTCAATCTTTGTTTTTCATTGTCGATCTAGATGTAACATTGGCAATCTATGTGTGCAAAATGTAAATCTTTATCAAAATGACTGCTCGTAGTTTATTTTAAAACCCTATTTAAGTGTCTATAGCTGTGGTTAAACACCAAAAAAAAAATCATTTCATTTGAACTTCTTTACAAAGTTCACAGACATCCCCGTAATTAAGGTCTCGTCATTAGTATTCTTTTTCGCTGTTATCCCAAGGACATGTGTGTACTTCAAGCGTAAATACAAGCAATCAACAGAGAGCATGTACATTTAATGAATTAAACACTTGAACTGGTTGGAAATGTAGATATTTATAGAGATTACTGGATAAGTGCTAAGCAGGGAAATTTAAACACCAAGAGTACATTTTAGGGACGGTCCATTGAAGCTGTCCCTCTGGGAAAATATGACAATGCACGCTTATAAAATGTATAAATACGGTCGCTTATACCACATCATTCATTGAAAGCATCTCTCCTTTTGTACAAGCCTCGTTGTTTTTCAAACTGGCCTGAAAATGACCATCTTATTTCTACTGCTTTCAACTGTAATGTGGATGGTAAACTCTACACATCTTTCTTACACGATACAGGACTACCAAGCCCTGACCAATAGATTACTGGCTAACTACTCTAATAAAATCCGTCCGATTTTTGACCAGGGACAGACTCTGCCTATGGAAGTCAGTTTGTGGATATCGAGTATCAATGACGTCAACGACGTAGCTCAGAAGATGGTCACTACCGCATACTTGGCCGTGACATGGACAGACGACATGTTAACTTGGAATTCAACAGAAACAGGGATTTATTGGATGCAGTTCAACCAGGTTAAATCTCTCTCTCTCTCTCTCTCTCTCAAAATTTTACAAGAAATTAACACAAAATTGATTTTTGTCATTTTCTATTATTTCATTTGTGTAATTAAGATTAAAAGGAAGTGAGCATAAAAATAAAACAATTTTTTCTCCATGTAGAATTAACCTCAGCATTTCAAGCTCTAAATCTTCTCTAAATTCTAACACTATGTGAAGACTTTCATTATACCCATATGTATATATATTTGATTCAGAACAAACCGTAATCAATTTGCCTAGTGTGCTTCCATCTGTTTTTCTGTAGGCACAAAGTAATAAAGATTTGAAATTTAGGTCACTGTGTGCCTTACCTCCAAGGTTTATATTAAATTAAATGTACTGTGTATCCATCGATGCAACTGCATGCATGAAATCTTTCATTACCTCCAACGTTTATATTAAATTAAATGTACTGTGTATCCATCGATGCTACTGCATGCATGAAATCTTGCATTTCCTGCTTCATTTATTCTGTTTTATAATAACTTTAGATCTGTATATCACAAGAAATGTACATGCATGATACGTGTATATGTACCATCTAATGCAAGAAGTTGCATCTGACATAAATTCTAACGCTTGAGATATTCTTATTTAGGACAGTATTAAAACAAGTTTCTTGCTAATTACCAGTAAAACATAAACCAAACATGCATTTTCTTTGAATTTGTCTGATGCAAGTAATGCTGCATCTGACCTACACTTATTTTTCACTTCTTTGAATAAAAAAAAAAAAAACAGAATTTAACTTGCTCTCAGTTTACATTAAGTTTACATTAAGTGTACATTAAGTAGGATAGATTGCAAACTTATTGGTTTTGCCCATCTATAGATTCTTTTTACGATGTTTTGAATGTGTCCTGCAGACGTGTCATTCTAGAAAGAACAACTTAAATTTCGTATTAAAAGGTCAAACACTGATATCTTTCCCAGTCGGTAATGCTAAAATGGGATTTTTTTCTGAAGTGGATGAACAATCCCTCTATTTCACATTGGTTCTGCGTTGTTACATTAAAACGTAAACTTCAGTTTTCCTCTCCATTGATACAAAATTTGAACAGTCGATCTTTTGTGATACAGTTTACTAAAAACACCAGTTTAACAGTACATATCTAAAATGGAAGTAACTTACCTTTTCAGAAAGATTTATGGATTCCGGACATCGTGCTGAGTAACGGATTCACGGCTTTCAAACCTCTTGGTGGTGATTTCTATTTTCTTTATGTGGATAGCGATGGATCAGTTTCTTGGTATCCGTACATGGTGTTTGAATCCAAGTGTAAAATCGATGTTTCATTTTATCCCTTCGACTCACAAACGTGTAAAATTAAGTTCAAGACGTGGAGTTATAGCCGATATGAAGTCAATCTAACAGTTTCTGAAGATAAGCTAGGTTTTTATGACTTTGTGGAAAACAGTGTATGGGAAGTAACGTCGACAGATGCAGTAAATGACTTTGCAAGCTATGAACCGACAGTGTCATTCATAGTACATCTAAAGCGAAAATCTTTGTACTATATCATGAATGTGTTTCTTCCTATAATTTTTCTGGGTATCCTCAGCCCCGTAGTGTTCATAATCCCTGCTGATGCTGGGGAGAAAATGGGTTACGCCGTGACAATATTCCTGACCTTCGTCGTGTTTCTAACTATCGTAAGTTCGAACCTTCCAGTTAATTCTGACAGTGTCTCCTATATGGGAGTTTACCTCATCATCAAGCTTCTGTTTGGAGCTTTGATTATCGTCATTACGTCAATACAACTACGCATTAACCATAGGAAGCCAGAGAGAGAAATTGGGAAAGTGTTTCGTGCTTTTGTTAGACAAGAGCGTCGTCTACGGTGTGCAGGTAAAAGTTCGGGCTCGGGCTGCACATGCTCTAGACGTGTGCATGGAATAGACCTCCCGGTAACGGAGGACAAAGGAAAGGCGAGGGAGGCAATTGAGGAGGACATTAGCTGGAATGACGTGTCCTCCGCAATAGACTTTTATTCATTTTGGTTCCTGGTTCTTGCAGATATAGCAGTAACTTCCTCCATATTTACATATACTGCATTGAATTAGCTCACACACATTGATGATAAAGAAACGTACAATCATGAACT